TTCAATGAGGACACTGAACTTCAGAGTGAGGGGGGGGGAGAAGAGTTTTTGGAAGTTGACACTAACCATGGAGTCACAAAGAAAGAGCCTCTTGAAGCAATAACAACTAAGGAAGAGGAGAAGAATGAGCTAATTGAGGAGAATCAATCTGAGAAGCATACTGGGATCTATGATCATTCTCTTTACAAGCAAGCTCTCCCCTTTCCTAGAAGGTTCAAGAAGCAGTTTATGGAAAAGTACACCACTCTATATGCCAACCAGATGAAGCTTAGAGGTCTTGAGATTGGGACAGAGCTGAAGGAAGTCATTGCCAAGACTGAGGTATTGAACATCAAAAAGCCTGGAGATCTTGGATGCTTCACTTTGCCTTGTGAACTCAAAGGGCAAACCTTCAAGAGCTGTCTTTGTGATCTTGGAGCAAGTATCAACCTTCTCTCATCCTCTACTGCTAAGGCACTTGGCTACACTCAACTTCAAGAGAGTAATGTGTCTCTTACCATAGCTGATGGTACAGTAAAGGCACCACTTGGAGCTCTCAAAGATGTGCCAATGATGATTGAAGGAGTGATCATACCAACAGATTTCATGGTCCTAGATGTTGAAGGAAAGATCAAAAACGCCATCACTCAAGAGAGGCCATTTTTAGCTTCAGCTGGCACAATGTTTGACGCCTAGGAGTGCACAATAGAGCTAAGGCTGACCAAAGAGAAGGTTCTGAGGTTTGACTCCAAGGGGAACAAGCTAGAAAATGAGCAGGCCTTCTCAATGGAGATCAAGAAGTTGAAGAAAGTTGGTGAGCATTGGCCAGAGTTTGAAGGCTATGTTGGTGCAAGATTTGATGGCTGCTGTCTGCTAAAGATGTTTGCTGATACCACTGAAGAGAAGGTCCTCAAGTGGCTGTTTCTGATTGTGTGAATGAAATTCTGTTGGGTAACAAAGAAAATGGGGTTGTCTTGAAGCCCTTTAAGTATGGTGAGATCCACTACAATCTAAAGGAGGGAAGCAAACCAAAGCCCTTTGCTTTGTTGAAGATTGATGGGGTCACCAGAAAGGTCAAAGGAGGCACAGTAACACCAAGGAGTTCCAAAACTCCTGCTCCAAACCTCAACTAAGGAGCTGAGGAAAGTCAAGCTAAGTGACTCTAAACAAGCGCACTTGGGAGGCAATCCCATGGTATCCTTATATATAGCTTTGCATTTTTATGTTTCTTATGTTTGTGTGGGTGTTTTTTAGTGTCTCTAGTAACCATGTACGACCTAAGGTAGAAGGAACCAAGCTTGGAAGAAGAAGGAAGTCGAAGAAGGGTCAATATCGACCAGCATATCGGCCATGCACGTCGATACGAGTCATACATAGCATGTGTATCGGTCATGACTTGCTTGATGCAAGTGTGCTAGACATGTATCGACGTGCGTATCAGGGTGATCCTAATCGATACTCTTGAGAGGATTGCTGTATCGATCAGAGTACCGATATAAGGCAACCTGATATGCTTTGATAAGCAATGTATCGGGGTATACACACTTTGATATGCTTCAACTGGTATTCGTATCGATGACATGCATCGATGTAACCAGGTCGATATGACGTCAAGAAGTGCGTATCGAGCACAATATCGACGTAACACATCGATGTGCCTGAACTGCGAGGATGAAAAGCGATTAATTGCCCTTTATTAACGCACATCGAAGTGAATATCGACATCCCACGTCGATACACCTTAAGAGACTGATGAAAACATGTAGCTAAGCATATGGCAAGGTGTATCGATGTGAATATCGACATGATAGCCCGATATGGAATTTTTCCAAATCATACCGAGCTATATATCGAGCTACTTGCTCGATATTGGACAGCTATGTGTGATTAACGGACTACATATCGACATAAGGGATGTCGATACAAGAGATGTCAATCACTATCAACATGCATGCAGCTCGATATCAAGACCCAGACCATCGATATCGGCACGCATATCGACCATACCAAGTCGATATGATCAATATCGATCACAATATCGGCTTGGGTGATTGATATAGTGCACGAGGTAAGCATCTGCAATTCAAATTTTTTCCTCTTTGGTCAAACTAGATCAATGAATTCAAATTTGAATCTTTCCCCTTCCCAAGCACAAGTAGAACCTCTCTCTAGCACTCTTTGTTCCCTTGCTCCCCACAAAAAGATTCCCCAACCCTCTATATTAACACACTCACCCTTCACTCTTTTTCACTTTCATTTTCCTAGTCTTCCAATCACTAAATTTCGAAATCTTTGTGTTTACTAAGTGCTTGAGAGAGTCAAACCACTTCAGGTATTGTCTCTTATCTTTTAGATGTTTAAAATTTTTATTTCATGCACTTAAACACTTATTCTTGTTTAGTGATTAAATTCTTGTAATGATGCATTGCCTCTTGCTTATTATTATGTCTTTTGCATGGTGAATAAGCTGTCTTTGATCCTTGAAGCATATTTAATTTATGAATATTTGCTTATCAAATTCATCTATTTATTTTTGCATTAGCATCTAAGTGCATTTATGTAGTGTCACCATGCTAGGATTCATCATTTTCGAATATTTGATAAAATATGTTTCATGAATCCTTTGCATGCATTGCCTTTTTATTTGCTTTACAAATGTTAGAGGTTTACTTTTCAGTCAATAAACTCCTCCTTTTGTGATTTTTAGCATCATTAGGCATTATGTTTTGTTGCTTCCATGGTTCTCATTTTTCTTTTGAGAAAATATTTTAGGTACCATGGGAAGAACAACAAGAAGTGGTGCTAACAAAGAGGCTGAGAAGCAAGAGAAAGGCAAGGGAAAAGCTAAAGAAATTGGGAGTCCAAGTGCCAAATCCAAAGGCAAGAAGAGAGTTGATGTTGGTGCTAGTGAGCAGGTCCCTCAAAAGAAGAAAGGTACCACACCAGCTCAAAGGCAGATGTATGACAAGCTGCAAAAGGTGGATGTGAGGCCAACTAGATACCCCCATGTGCCATCTCTAAAGGCCTTGGGACTCTTTGAAGACTGCTCTTCTTTGCTGGAAACAATGGAGCTCACAAAGCTGGTGGGATCTCCACATTCAGCCAACAAAGACCAAGTCCTTCCATTCTTTGCAAGCTTTGATGTGATATTCTATAAGCCAGGAGAAGAGACTCCTGAAGAAGATGGTGATGGCTTCATCACTTTCAGAGTTTCAAAGAGGGATTATAGGATGTCTTTCTCAGCCATTGAAGATGCCTTTGGATTCTCTTATGGGAGCGCTAGAGGACAGAATCTTGGAGTTAGCAAAGAAGAGATGAGCAACCTTCGGGATCATGTCGCCAAGGGCGCTTTCAAGCCAGGAAGAAGCAAGGCTTCTCAGATCAGGAATCCCACAATAAGATATGTGCACAAAGCGCTGGCACATACACTCTTTGCTAGGAAGGAAAGTGGAGCTGTTGAAGGAGGAGAATGTGAGCTGATTGACAATGGTCTTGTGAGTGTTTTGGACATCACCAACCAAGGCGTGATGCTTAGAAGAGCAGATGGTACAACTGGCATAGTCACCATCTTCATGCAGCAGCATTTAGTCATCAAACATTGGTTATCAACCACTGATGACAACGCGCCCAAGCTGTATTGTGCTGGACTTATCACTCAACTAATGGAAGCTGCTGGAGTTGAGAATGGACCAGTCACAGTCAAAATCACTTACTTGGACCTGCCCTACCTGAAGAAAGCAAGGTTCCTTGGTGAACAAGTGGGTAAAAAGTACATCTACAACTTCATCCAAGAAGATGGATCTACTGCAAAGATTCTACTCCCTGATGTGCATCTCACATTGATATATCATGGTTTTTATGGTTTTTAACCATGATATAAGTCCTTTTTATTGAGTCTTTTTGGTCTTTTTAGAGTCCTACAAGACTTTTTTCAAATTATAGCATGTCTGGAGCATAATTAGAGATATTGGAGCCTTTTGGAGCATTTTGAGTTGAAGCCACGAAGTATCCAACTCGGGAAGAAAAGTATGCATATGGGTGACGAGCATCACCAGATAAAGGAAGAGGTCGTAGCTGTTTTCTAAAAGATAGAGGATTATTTACAGAATTGGCCCAGAAGTTCTAGTATTTGCAAAGAGGCCCCAGATCGTGTTTTAGTTTGTATATTAGGTTTTCAGCCATTCTTTTGGCAGATATCTTGTATCTTATTATTCTAGAGAACTTGAGAGAGAGATTTGTAGAAAAGCTTTTGGAGAGACAAATCAGACTCCTTCAGAGCAGATTTCGAACTCCTTCATCTTTACTTCTTATTTCTTTTATGCAATCTATTTTTTTCATGATGTTTTCTCAAATCACCATGTCTGAGTAGTTAGTCAATTAAGTTAGGGCTTTTCAAAGGTTGAAGAAGAGTTTGTAGAATTGCTAAACTTATAGGAAATCCATTGGTTCTTCATATGTGCTTGCATTCATATCGATTTCTTAGACACATCATATGGATTTCAAAACTCTAGGTTGTTTGATAGATGTGAGAGCAATATTAATCACCTAAACTAGTATTAAATGAGCAAAACGCCATAGTGCAAAAAAATTTGGCTTAAAATTTTTGTGAACAACTGAACCTAATCATTCCTGCAAGTTTAGGTTGTTAGGGTTTGCAGTTTTTAAGAGTTCAAATATATAGAATGGTGCATTATGATCCTATTTCCTTACAAGGAACAACAATAGTGAACACTCATAAACCACACTTACTCTCAAACAATACTGCAGAGTTAAAGAGACAAACACGCAATCAATACTGAAACACACTTACCCTCAATATATATAAAAACATAATGGAGAAATCAACACAAAGTATGAAACCTGGGTTTCAGTATTTTCTTTCAACCCAGCCTTAGGCCCAGATTAGCAACCTGAAAAGCAAATCATCTAGTCATTGTTAAATCACATAAAGAAACATATGTGGTACCAAACACAATAGATCGGGGAAAGGGCTTAACCACACCATTTCTAAAGCATCGCACCAAGGTTCCTGCACAACCGATGCTTCTTTTCTCTGCACGAGAAGCCAGTGATGCACCGAACATCCGAGCAGGTGTTGAAGCGAATTCAGGTGGAGTCGAAGCAACGATAACTGGTGTTGAGTCAGTTTTAGCAGGTATTGAAGGTTCAGTAGCCGGAGTCGGCACTGTTTTGGCTGGAGTTGGCGCTAAGTTGATCTTAGACAAAGCTGGTTTTGTAGGGCTTGAACAAGACACAAAGCTATTCCGTAAGGTACGAAGAAAATCATTCAATTATCTAGACACAAAATATACAAATTTCATGATGGCTCGTGTGATTGACTACAAAATTTCATAATTTGCTATTCAGACTGATCTGTAATCTTCTAATAACTGAAAACTATCGAAGTTCAAAAAGAATTTCTCTCTAGCCTCGGGTCGGGTCTTTTTCTAAATAGGCACCCACATGTGATTTTTTTCAAAATAAAAGGGATCATGTATTATTATAAAGATACACGTCAAGTTGAATATATCGAACTTTTTATTATGCTGTTCTAATGGGAAAATACTTGCACTATCCAAACTATATTATGCTGTTCTAATGGGAAAATACTTACACTATCCAAACCATATCATCATTTGGAAATAGAGATTCAGAAACTTGGTATTCCTAAAACTCCTGCATAACTTATCAACGAATTCATCATATATTTTCAGATCACTGAGAGCATGACCACGGATTGAAATTGAAATCGAAATTGAAATCCCCGACAAAATACCTTTCTGTTAAATGCACGATTTTTGCTGAAATGCAGGCAAATGTCGGCATTGAACCTTGCAGTTTCAACAACAGGATCGAACTATCCAATGTATCGAAGAACTATCCCAGAATGTCGTACATGTATGAAACCATATCTCATCAGTTAGATTCGTAATTAAAGGGGGGGGAGGAAATAGAAAAATTAAGAACCCTAGAAATTAGACTCACTTCTCTGGTAGTTGCTCCATCTCGGCATTCTTATTAGTGCATACACGTTTGGAGGCGGATGACGACGAATCGTTGTCGGAAAACCTTACCCATTGGATCCTCAGATCTGCGACGAGATCCAGCAGCTTGACGAATCTCTTTCACGGATAGAGCAACAGATCGATTTCTCATGTGAATCTCATGGCTGAAATCATGATTATGTCTCTGCTCAAGGAAGGGAAGGGGAGGCCAGAATTAGGAAAAGGTTTCTGTGGCTGCTGCTGCTACGGCGGCTGCTGCGGCTACTGCTGCAAATTAGAGTTTGACATTTGCCTAAAATCTGGCGGTGCGCGGAGGGCACTCACGGATTGAGAAGCGGGTATTGAAGTGAAAGCTCCTCTTATGAAGTAGAAAGGAGGAGGGTGTGCTTCTGAATGCCATTGCTTCTCAATCTTCCAAATTACACATTTAAACAAAATTTTCATTAGAATGATAATGGTAATTGAATTATAAGAAAAACGCTTTTTTGAAGGAACTATTTTTGATTTAACTGAATTTATTTGACTAAAGAGTTTAATTTTTTTAAAAAAAAAATTGTGTTAGGCTTTAAAACACAAGCGTGACCGCGTGGGCCCAAATGATTTTCGAAGACAACTAACTATTCATCAAAAGTCCAAGAGAAAGTAAACAGAATTTATATATAAAAAAATTTGCTAAGGTGTCATCGAAGGGGGTGCTGATGTGTCACCCCCTTGTAAGACACAACTAAATTTTTATATAACAGATGTATGAATTATACTGAGTTATTTATATTAGGACATTTTCAACCATACTATATTTTCCATTCCAAATGCTATTTTGGAGAAAATTTTACTTCAACCTACATCATTTTCAACTCCAAAATGAAGTAAACCTACATTCTACTTTATATTTGGAGTAAATCTAAACTCTACTATATTTTGGAGTTGAACTTTTTTATTTGCAAACTAATCCATTAAATTTAAAATATTTTTATTCATACTATTTGATAGTTTTAAATTTTATAAAACTAATAATTATAAATATTTAAACACCACAATGGTTCTTAGAAGAAATTGTAAAATACAATAAACTTAAAAATACATAACAAGTGCTGAAATTAAAATAAACAACAGAAATAAATTTAACACAACAAATACATATATTTTAATAATTTTCTAAACTGCTTCCTGATCTACCAAAATTATTCAAAAATTGTCCAAAAAAATTGGTGGAGGAGAAAATTTCATATGATTTTTATGTAATTTCTTTATATAATAAATATTTAATTTATAACTTTCAAAAGATATTGTAAACAATAAAATAATTAGGATTTGTTTGTAAATTTTAGAAATAAAATGTATTACTAATAAAATATAATAAGAATCTATTTAGAATATTCATTTTTTGGAGTAAAAAGAGTTATACATTGGAGCAAACACAACTCTATTTTGAAGTAAAAAATGGAGAAATACATTGGAGATGGTAGAAGGTACTTTTTAGAGTTAGAATAGCAAAATAGACATTTTTTTGAAACTAAAGCCCTTTCAACACTTGAATTGATAATTGTATCCTTGTTTTCATCTTTTCACCAATACAATTTATTTACAATCAGAAGTCAAAAAACCAATTTACTAAACTTTTCCGTGACGGAAGAAAAATTTGACAAAGGACGTAGATTGCTTCTTCCGCTACGTGAAACAAAACCCTAAGAAGCATACTTGAGTCGATTTCATTGTGGAATTTGGAGGATTGAAGTTAGCAATCATTGGAGCAAAAGTTCCAGTAATCAAGATGCAGATGATGAGCGAACTCTTCTCTGGGGGCGGAGATACAGACAGAGCTTCCTTCAATGTGGATACAGACAATGTCTAGTGTTTCTTCTGAACTGATTACCTAATCCTCTTCGATTTGTAGAGAATGTACGGATTAAGTGACCGATTATATCGAATCCTTAGGACCCAGATCTACAACAACCAACACTGTAGAAGAAGTAAACCCGGCCATGAAAAGTAAAGTTTCTCCACTTCAGTGTACGATGATGTCCATCACTCATGTCCAGGCTGATTTGTTCACCGTTCTTGTGCATTTTTTCATGTGCACGCATCCATGGGGGCGTTTGCCTACAATTTGTCAATCCTGTCCACGCATTTGTCTCCACATAACTCACAGTCTCCAGCATCTTTGTGTATTTGACCATGTCTTCACATTCATGGCTGCTAGTTTCCCAATTGATTTTTGTACATAATCCCTACTAGGTTTAATAATTTTTAACTGATGTGTGGTGATAATACTTAATATGAAGTCAATAGTTCGTCCTAAATACCTTTGTTTGAGATTATCCATTTGTTCACTTGAATCTGCTTATTTGCACTTCTTAGTGATAAATTTTGTATATTTGGTGGTAGGGATAAACTTAGATCGGTGATAATAGATTTTTGCATAATAGCAATCACCCACTACTCAGTCAATTACATTATAGGATGAGTTTTTATGTCAATACAAAGGGTCAAGATAGAGGCATTACAAATACATGATTCATAGTAAGATAAACAAAATGGGAAAAAGGTTTTACTAGCAATCCTAAAGTGTCACACAAAAGCAAGAAAACAAGAGAAAAAAAGCAAGAAAACAAGAGAACAAAAGCTAAGCAAAGACTAAACAAAATAAACAATGACTGAATCAAATGAAGCTAATAAAATATAGAAAAGGTCTTAGGATGGGATTCATTGAGTTGGGGAAAACTCTTTGATTTACTAAGATGCTTTAACAACATTTAACAAATGCTAAATAACAATAAGTAAATACTAATCCTTAGGTATAGGATTTAACAATAGGTTAACCCATGGTGTTTGAAAATAAGTCTTTTTTTATTTATCACTTAATTGAAACCTAATGTTCATTAGTGATAGTATGATAAACAAGCTTAAAACATCAACCCTATAGAGCTAAAATTCTCCCCAACAGCAATGGACTTAGGTTAGGATGAACAAATTCTTTATTTGTAGTTCCAGCATTCGACAAGCATGGTGTGTGCAAGGGAAACCCAAGAACAACAACCCAAGTGATCAATTTGGACTAAGCATTAATAATGACAACTAAAAAAGGATCAATATCATTAAGCACTAAGCCATCATAGATCCATCCCAAAAAGATCTCCTTTCCTATATCCCATTCTTAAACCTAAACAAAACTACTCACTAATCATGTTTTAGACTCTAAATCCATAAAGAAAAAAGACTTAACATGATTAGATATTGATTAAGCAAGAAAACAAATAAAGAGAAGTGTAAAACTTGATTAAACTTGTAAGGTTTGTACAAAATCAATCAAGAGCAAGAGAGGAAAGTTTCTCTCTTATAAAATAAAACATAAAAAGCTTAAACATGATTAGCCACCAAATCTACAAGGAAGATATGGATAAACAAGATTAGAAAGCATAAACAAGAAGAAAGACTAAGAGAAGTGTAAAAACTAAATTAAAACTTAAAAGTATCTACAAAATGTGTTCTTGGAACAAAAAAAAGAAAGAAAATAAAACTAAAGATAACGTAAGAGCTTTTGATCTAAAAATGAGTAAGAACACTTCCATTGGGAGGTTCTTACTAAAATATCTAAGAAATAAATATAAGGATAAAACTGAAATAACGCATTTGACAATTTTATTACAAAACATGACCCTTCCTAAAATGACCCATAAGAGAGGTCCACTAGTTTGCTTTCAATATGTTATTAGTCTGTCATTAATTTGAAATTAGTCTACCATTAGTCTGCCAGTAGTCTATATTCAGTTATTTGACCAATCAGTTTGCCAGTAGTCTGCAATCAGTCTGTCATTAGTCTACAAATAACAGTAGTTAGAAAGATAGCGCTGGTATTTGTAAAAATCATAAAATTATGTCATTTTTACAATTTCCCCTCAGTGAAGTATCCATTTTACATTATTTTATCATTCTTAATTATTTTGGAGCATTTCCTCATAAAGATATTAAAAAAATAAAAAGTAACAAAGAAGTTGAGAATCGTTTCTTGTTAAAGAAACTTTCAGAGATCGTGAGATACCCTTTTTCCATTTATCATCTTCTGATTAGTTTTAACTTTGCTTTTAAAATTAAAAAAGAATTATTTATTTAAATACTAATAATTTATTATTGAGATACTCAAATAAGTATCCAAACTGATGGAGATGCTCTAAGAAAGCCAAGGATTTCGGCCAAGGGATTATATATAGGAAGCCAAGGGAAGCCCAAGTGAATTGGACCCTACGAGCATTTTTTTCATCTTCTCGGACTGGTTGCAACAATCTCAAACGGTTGTGGCTGACTGTTGTGGGTGTCTGCATCAGGCTGTAACCGTTGTGCCAGACAAGGTTCACTGTTTTCGCCCTAACTTCTGAACCACTGATCGCAATGACTTGAGACTTCCACCAGACGATAGCTAACTTAATTCTATATGAATCTCAAGCAAAACTCAGAAACTGAATCGAGATGGAAAGCGTTCGTCCAAGCTGTCCACAGCGGTTTGTGACCGCTGCGCTTGAACAATGCGATTGCTTACGTTGTCTGTTGCTTGATCTCGGCTCGTCTTGCTCCACAGCGGGCTGAGACTGTTGTGGTTGGAGAAGTCTTCTCTTTTGCTCCATAATGCCTTAGCTTTGGTTTTTCTCTCAAATTCCATAGAGCCTCCGTAAGACAAAAGTACCTACCAAGCACTCCAAACATGCAAAATATGTATTGTCTATCATAAAATTAATATGCATGAAAATGGGATAAAAACTAATGAATGGACACGAAAAAGAACCAAAAACCTACACTAAATGCATGCTAATATGGTGTAAAATATGGAGATATCAACACCCCCAAACTTGTCTTACTGTCATCGTCTTCTGTCCTTCAAGTAACTGCTCCAGCATAGCTTCCATCTTATTGTCTTGTAGAGGTGCAGTTTGGTAGGAAGAAGAACCGAAATTCCTGCTGTTTTGGTAAGGTTTCTCAACTTCAGTCTTCTGGAACTTTGGCTTGGGCGTGTATCCAGGCGAATTCTGGTTTCCTGTGAAGATACTCTGCTGATTATTGCTGTTGTAGCCTCTGTTCCAT